TAAGTCACCCGTTAAAAACTCATTTTTAATTTGTATTTTATTATCTAATAATGACATAATTTGAAAATTTGAAAATGTTAAAAAAAAAAAATTTTAACGGGCAGAAATTTGCCCCGTCCCCTTTGGCCTTTAATCCGTCCCGTTGCTATCCCTACTCTAGATCCATCCATGATGGTACATCTAGGGGCTTTCCTTTTTAAGAGGAAATTACACGCATCACTACAATTAAAATTAATATTTCAATTTTATATTTCAATTTTTAATTCCAAAGTTACTACAATATACATAGTAAAATAGATAACCAAAAAATCTATTCAATCCTATCACTAGTCAAAGAAAAAGCTACGACCACTTAACCAAACATGACATGTCAAACACTACACATACCCCCACCCCAAATCACACCCCAAAAATTCCAAACATTTACCCTTTCCATTGCAATGGAGAATTGAACTCTATGGAAGCAACCCTTTTTCTACTTTTTTCCATGCTGAAGAGAACCAAACAAGTAAATATGACTCAAGAAATAACCTTTAGGAGCACTATATCTAACCTTCACAATACAGCCATAATTGCAACTTCAAACTTCATGAAATGGTGAACCCTATGAAATTTGGAATCCCAATAGAAAGCCAAAAAGAATTCCATTGTTTTGTCACCACAAACCACGTCAACCGATTAAATCCGAGAAACTCCAGCTCCCATTGTCCTCCCCCAACTTCAATTTCAAAATGATTGGATCTTGAAGAGACCTGAAGTGGATGGAGAAAAAGACATCCCTGAATCATCGAGAGAATTATCCAAATGGTCATTGAACTTTGCAAAAAGTTTCTACGGGATTACCGAACTTTAGAAATTACTCAATTCATCACTGAACTTTGCAAAAAGTTTTTACACGGCCACTAAACTTTAAAAATCACTATATTCATCACTGAACTTTGCAAAAAGTTTCTCGGGGGTTACTGAACTTTGCAAAAGGTTTCCACACGGTCATTAAATTTAGTAACTTCGTAAAAACCTTTTGCAAAATTTAATAATGAATTAGTAAATTTTTAAAGTTCAACGACCTCGTGAAAGCTCTTTGTAAAGTTCAGTGATGAATTGAAAATTTTTAAAGTTCAGTAATCCCATAGAAACATTTTACAAAGTTCAGTGACCATTTAGGTAATTCATTTTGAATCATCCTAACTAGGGATTCCTAAAGCCTCTTTTGTGAGTGGAGGGTCAGAGGCTTCGACAAGAAATTGAAGCATGTTTATGACCTCTGTTTATGCACGTAGTACTTTGCTTTACTTGGTTTTTTTGCCCAACAGCGTGGCCAAACACGAAATTATTGAAAGAAAGGAGACCAATATCTATTACATTTTCGATCTTTGCAAAAGACATCCTTGAATCATCGAGTGAATTATCCATATGGTCATTGAACTTTACAAAAAGTTTCTACGAGATTACCGAACTTTAGAAATCACTCAATTCATCACTGAACTTTGCAAAAGGTTTTGCACGCGGCCACTAAACTTTAAAAATCACTATATTCATCATTGAATTTTGAAAAAAGTTTTCCAAGAGTTACTAAACTTTACAAAAAGTTTTCACACGGTCATTAAAGTTAGTAACCCCGTAAAAATCTTTTACAAAATTTAGTGATGAATTAGGTGATTTTTAAAGTTCAGCGACCTCGTGAAAACCCTTTGCAAAGTTCAGTGATGAATTGAAGATTTTTAAAGTTCAGTGATCCCATAGAAACTGTTGACATCCGAACTCCGATCTAATAAAAACAGTTCACTAACCACACCTCTGTTAAATGTGAGTTCGGTCCTTACTCCCAGGTGGAACAATCCCGTCATTATCTCAAAAAAATATCATGATTACCCCCTGTTACATTACCCTATCAATCAAATACACTTGCCACAGGTGACGTCATCACCGCCCGGAACAACCAATCCTAAGTTCTCAACTTTCAGTCCCTTGCAGGTCATCATTACCTGGGGAAAACATTGACATATGGCCACCGGCCTCATCGACCAATCACAAGAGAATCCGACGATCCGAGGTCTGAGATTGGTACTGTTGCTAATTTGATTGATTTGATGTAATGTCGGATGAAAATTATGTATAAATAGTTGAATAGGACTCTTGTAAAGGGCAAGTGATTTTCATACAACAACTCAAGGGATAATTACACTCTCTAAACATATTTTGTGGTCTTTTTTCAATAATAAATCACCATTTTTTCTTAAAGTTAGTTTAAGATTAGCCTTGCTAATTTTGACATCAACAGAAACATTTTACAAAGTTTAGTGACCATTTAGGTAATTCACTTCTGAATCATCCTAACTAGGGATTCCTAAAGCCTCTTTTGCAAGTGGAGGGTCGGAGGCTTCGACAAGAAATTGAAGCATGTTTATGACCTCTGTTATGCAAGTAGTACTTTGCTTTACTTGGTTTTTCTACCCAACAGTGTGGGCAAACACGAAATTATTGCAAGAAAGGAGACCAATATCTATTACATTTTCGATCTTTTCAAACATATCCTGGTCAGATCGATCACCGGATTGAATTAATATATTTGTAAAATTTAAATTTCTACATCATGATCAGAAATCTAGCGAGGTAGGTCATAAATCTTAATTACGTATAATTGTTGAAAGTGAAATCAAATACAAGAAATCAACAATGAATTAGAATTGAAATTTTAACTGAAACATTTACACTACTCATGAAATGAAATCTGGCAACGCAGGTTATATAACAAAATTAAGTATAACTTCCGAATATAAAATCCTATATCATAAATAAACAATGAATAAGATCAGAAATTTAGCCATAATATCGATTTCATCAACTGTAAAAATCTTTTCAGAACTTCATATATCTCACCGTCGAAGACTGATTGTGCATATCCTCATATTTGATGTTACCACGCCACACAAACTCGGTTTTGAATTTGAATCTGCACATTTCCAGCAATTTCAATGAATTCTATTTTAGAAAGACATTATTATTATCTTTTTTATTTTCTCTTTCTCGTAAAGTAATCTCGTTTATATTTGTTAAGATAACTTTTTCTTTAGGAAACAAACAAAATTGGTCCAAAATCTTGACTAAAAATGAAAAATAAATAAATAAATAAATTCCAATCTTTGGATGACGTGCTACCAAATTTTTTGCATTTGAAGTAATATGATAAAATTTCACTACTAGTGTAAAGATTTACAAAAGTATAAAAAGAATCTAAAAATGTAAAATGTCGTTAAATCAAGTCATAAAAATTGACAAAAAGAATCTTTATCTTCCTTCTTCGAAACTAAATATGTAACATTTCGAGATATAAAAATGGAATATAAATTGTTTTACTTCATAGTATCTTACAATAGGACTGCGAATGAATCAAATAGATGAAGATTGCAAATTTAGTTAATGCATTTTTTCTTAATTTTAGTTGAGGCTAGATTCCTTTATTCGTGATAGTCTATACTATACGACTAGCTCTGCTAGTGTCTCTATAATCATCTTTATTAAATTATACTAAAAATATATTTGTATTGAAATTTTTCTAGAAAGGAGATTAAACATAATTCTACTTAAACATTATAGAAATTCATATTGATATTTCTTAGAAAAAAATAAAATAAAATATATATTTATATATATCGTGAGTGTTCGGACCAGCTTAGTGTATCTTGACTAATTCCATGGAGTCCTGAAATTTATAATCGGGTACTCACCTTAGTGGTCCTGAGAGGATTCGAACTGGTGACTAATGGGGAGCAAACTCAAGGTATGACCACTAAACTATCCTTTAGAGTTATATATACCGTTTGATCCACATTTTTCCAACAAAAATGCATTTTAAATATCAAATCATGGGTCCTACCTTAGAGTGTTCAAATCAAATATTATAGGCTGATTTGATGGAAAAAATGAGTTATTTTCCCAAATAATGTGCACCAAATGAATTATATATATAGAGAGAGAGAGAGAGAGAGAGAGAGAGAGAGAGAGAGAGAGTTTTTAAGAAAGCTGTATAATTTAGACATGGCACGTTAATACATGTGATATTGGATCCACACAGGATAAATTAGGTATGTATCGAATTATTTATGAGAAAAAATAATCAAAAAAGGTAATTATCTTAATAAATTAGTCCTATAATTATGTTATAAATGAAAAAGTATGTACTCATTAAACCACTGCTAAGACTTATCTTTGATGCACACAATAAATAATTGCCCATTAATTAAATTTATATGATAATCAGTGACCAAAATGATACCTAAATCTTCTTTATATCTGATATTAATCCATCTATCCATCTTTAATTGATTTATTAATGAACACATTAAATAATTATAAATAAAAGATAAGACAGCTATAATTTCAAGTTAATTTAATGATAGTTACATTTACCTGTAATTCATTGCTACATTTTTATGATTGACTCAACAACTTCTTGAAAATATTTAAAATTTTGACTGCAATTATTTATTTATTTTGTTTCTTTTCTTTTTGTTTATTTAAAGAGGAGGCTAAATTCATCATTTTACAATGTTTAACTAAAAAAAAAATTTTTAAATAAAAAATAAAAAAATTGATAGTAAAGATGTGCACAAAGAAAAATCGATTTGAGGGCCAAATATCGAAATTGAAAAGATGAGGACATCTTACGCTGATTACCCTTTAGCTTAAATACGAACTCGAACACAAAAACTAAAATGATAGAGGCAATTAAATTATAAATGATTCACTTATAATTAACCAAGGGCTTTTTTGTCAAATCAACAAATCAAAATAAAATCATCCTAGATCAATCACAATGTTTTAGTTAGATTAACATCCATGATTAAAGGAGAATGGAATATTGACATGTTAGGGGTATTTCAGTCAATTCGAAATTAGATGGACAGACATATTACTATCACACTTGTCCATATCTGGAGCTGTCTTATTTCTTCTCTCTATACAAACACCTACACACACACATACACATCTGTCCACCTGTTCAGGTTACAGTGTGAACTTTCAAGTTTTGTTTAAAATTTTTCTTACCAAAGAGACGAAAAAAAAGGGAAAAGATTCTTTAGCTGACATAGAAAAAAAAGAAAAAGAAAAATATTCTGTTTTTAATTTATTAATTTACGGTGTGAGATTGAAAGGCAGATCCCACACAACTAAATTAATAAATTCACCACACCTGATCTTGATAAAACCTGCAGAAATCACCATCTTTTTTATTTTATTTTATTTTTTATTTTGCATCTGTAATTAGCAAGAAGACTGGAACTGGAACTCCTCTTCATCATGCTTGGAGATTCAAGCGGCGGCGCAGCCGCTGTTAAGGGTAATGACAGTGGTGGTGAAGTTGGGCTTGGCAGCGGTGATTTTGTGGAGGAAGATAAGTTGGGAATTGACGAAGGTGAGAGGAGTTGCGGTGGCGGTGGCGGAAACCGGTGGCCGAGGCAAGAAACACTGGCCCTTTTGAAAATTCGATCTGATATGGACGTTGCTTTTAGGGACTCAAGTCTCAAGGGTCCATTATGGGAAGAAGTTTCGAGGTAATAATTATGAATATTCCTATGCAAAAACACACAAAATGAACATCAAGAACATCGAACTCGGGATTTGTGCTCGATCCTCGGCTAGGTATAGGCATCCAAGAAATGGTCGAGGATCTGTTCACATAAATTTTTGAACCTCATTACATTCAAGTAGACTTCAAATTAATCTTCTTATGTTTGTTGTAAAAGGCATTTCTGGATCATAATTTCATTGAATTATTGCTTTTTCTGATTGAATTGGAGGGTCATTACCTTTCAGTTCAGTTCCCAAAAATTCAGCAGTTCTTAAGGAATATAAAATTCCGGGTTTTCGTTTTTCAGTTTTGGCTCTTTGTTGCTAATTATAGCAATGAAGTCAGAAGATTGTTTTATCTTCATCTTCAAGTTTCTCTCCAGATTTTCAATATAATTCAGCCAAATCTACATAAAAGTTCTTGCACCGTGATTTGGTTGGAGTAGTTTCTCAACTTTTATCTGATCGATTAATTTCGTAGATTTTATGGGTATTTTTTTTTTCTTTCTTTCTTTCTTTCTTTTTTTTTTAAAATATGTATAGATGAACTTAAGATGGCTTAAGAACACAGGATTGTGTTTTTGTTCGGAAATTTTATCTGCAGGAAAATGGCGGAGCTTGGCTATCAAAGAAACCCCAAGAAATGCAAAGAGAAATTCGAGAATGTGTACAAGTACCACAAAAGAACTAAAGAAGGTCGATCTTCAAAACCAGATGACAAAACTTATAGGTTTTTCGATCAATTACAAGCTCTTGAACATAATCCTCCGCCGCTACTAGCTCCTCCACTTCAGGTGGTGGCGGTGCCACCGCCCCTCGTTACTATAAATCCGCCATTTGCAGCCCATGTTAGCCCTCTAAGCACTGCCCCACAAGGTACTAATACTCCAATGAATTTGTCATCCCAAATTTCACAGCCACCAACAATGCACACGACAAATCCTCCTCAAGCTCATACTTTTCCGCCTTCTTGTTCGAAAATATCGACTAGCCATCTATCGATATCAACCTCTTCCTCAACTTCGTCTGACGAGGATATTCAGAGGCGGTACAGGAAGAAGCAGAAATGGGTGGGCTATTTCGAGAGACTAATGAAGGATGTAACTGAGAAGCAGGAAGAAATGCAGGAGAAATTTTTAGAAACGCTCGAAAAACGCGAAATGGATCGAATCGCTAGAGAGGAAGCTTGGAGAGTTCAAGAAATGACGAAAATGAACAAGGAGCATGAACTTTTAGTCCAAGAAAGATCAATTGCTGCAGCTAAAGATTCAGCAGTTATTGCATTCTTGCAAAAGATAACTGGACAACAAAACTTGCAAATCCCAATGGTACAAGTGCCCCACAATCCATCTCCACCATTGGCGCCACCACAGCAATCACCGGCTCCGCCAGCACCTCCACCAGTTCCATCAACAGCAGAAGCAACACCAGTAAGAATCGACACTCCTAAAACCGATAGTGGTGGCGAAAGCTTCATTCTTGCTAGCTCTTCCCGGTGGCCTAAAGCTGAAGTTGAAGCTCTCATCAAGTTCCGAACTGATCTTGATCTCAAGTACCAAGAAAACGGGCCCAAGGGGACGCTGTGGGAGGAGATATCATCCGTCATGGCTAAAATTGGCTACAACCGGAGCGCAAAGAGGTGCAAAGAGAAATGGGAGAACATGAACAAGTACTTCAAGAAAGTGAAAGAGAGCAACAAAAAAAGACCTGAAGATTCAAAGACATGCCCATATTTCGAACAGCTCGATGCAATATACAAAGAGAAAGCCAAGAATGAATCTTCATCGATCGATCCTGGGTACAATATATCGAAGCCTGAGAATCCAGTGGTGCCATTAATGGCGGTTCCTGAGCAGCAATGGTCACTTCCTCTGCAAGCGGAGCCCCAGCAAGAATCAGCACTAGATGAAGATGGCGACGATGGCGATGAAGATGAAGGAGGTGGCTGTGAAATTGTTACAAACAAGCAGCAATCTTGAGTTACCACCACCACATTTCAGTGAGCTCTTCAGAGAGAGAATGATATAGATATAGAGAGAGAATAGGAGATGATAAGTTGTTAAAAATCAGGCAAGTGGACTGAGGTTCAGGGAGTGGGACAGAATTGCAGAAGGTGTCGAAAGGACGGCGTAGGGTGACGGTGAATTTTCCAACTGCTAAGATAAGTTGGGGGGTGACAGAGTTTATTAGTTTTCTACAAGTTATATTTACTTTAATTTATTTATTATTTTGAAAATAAATACAAATTTACAAATAATGTAATAGCATTTGTACCTTTTGTTTTGTTTCCTTAGTAAATATGTTACCGTCCAAACTTATGAATTTATGTCATATTTTTAGTATATGTTTTATGCCATTCAAATTGTTTTAAGAATAATTTGCGTTCATATTTCGTATGTAGCGTTTGAAATGAACAAATAGTATGATGAACAAATTTGTAGCATCATCTTTCTTAACATTATCTGTAGGGGTGTTAAATAGGTCAAGTCGAATCACTCAACTCACCTCTGCCAATCGCATGAGCCGACTCGTGAGCCGTTAGTGGCTCACCAATATTTTTTAGTGATTTTCATTTCACGAACAAATTACAGACAATCTAATTCGATATGCTTGCTGCTCATTAGCTTGTCTCACTAATCGGACGAGCCGCTACTTAAAATCCCTATTGTTGGCTAATATTTAATCTATACTAATAAACATGTCATAGGGCTGCTATGTGGTTGAATTTTTCTTTAGGTAAGGCCTCTCTTAAATTTCTTATCATTTTTTTTTCTTTTTTTAATGAGCAAGGAGGTGCTCAATATATTTCATTCGAAGAAACATATATTGGAAGACTAAATTTTGAAAATTTATTTTGTTTTCTTTAATTTCCATGAGGAAAAAAATTAAGATTTTTTTTTTTAATTCTACCGGATATTATAGAGGAAACATTTTGAAACATCTAATTATTTATCGAATCACATGATTATATAATTATTGAAAATTGAATTTAAATAAATAACTATTCTAATCTCTAACATTTTAAGTTCTCAAATGATGTGGTTAATACGTGTAAGAGAGTACCCCAAATATTTGATTCAATATTCATTATCACTAATTTTAGGAGATTACGTGGTTAAAAAGTAGAAAAATTTTATGGAGAAACATAAAAATTAATATATTCATTTTTAAAGAATGTGTGGTTGAAATAAATGAACGTAAAACAAAAGTGATTTTCAAATTAGTCACTTTCAAGCAATTTCTAAATTTGAATAAAATAAATGTGTTGTCTTTCTAAAATTTTATTTTTTTTTTGACAATTTAGACTCCCAAAGTTTAAACTTTTAAACAGGATAATTCAAACAAATTTTTTATCATAAATTTGTGGATTTGTGTGAATCACTTTGCCCCTCTTTTGTATAGATTAAATCAGATTCTTAGTAGATTTTGATAAAAATTGATAAAATGTATAATTGAAAAGTTATGAATGTTATAAAATGTGTGATTAAAATTAGTTTATGATTTCGATTTAAAATTTTAATTCAAACGAAACAAGGCTTAGTGAACTTTGTTTTATGAAATAGGGTAAAAAAAAAAAAAAAATCAATCTAAGCTAAAAATGATTCATTTTGTGGTTGTGCTTGATGGCTAGGGCAATGTGCCCCCGCCTCCCCCCTCTTGTTGGTGGGTCTGTGCCCATGTGGCTCTGGCCATCTATCTTTATCCTTCATTTTATGATCTTTAAAAAATAATAATAATAATCATATTTCATTGTTTGCAAAACCGATCAAATATGTTAAATGGAAAATTCAACTCAGATTTGAAGAGTTACAATAAAGGTGTAAAAATTTGGTTAAATATTTGAAAGTTCGAAGAATTCACAATTTTTATTATTTTTTTAATAAAATATTTTATCAAAATCGACTAAAAATTAATTTTTGAACTTTTAAATTTGAATAGGACAAAGATCCAAGTTAACAATCCAATTGACATAGAAACAGAAACCTACCATACTCATGTGGGCCCTTACACCAAATTATGTTTATTGATGTTGGGATAAGAAAGCAATTTAGAAGATTCTTCTAATTAAGGTAAATATTTAAGGAAAATTAGTCCCAGCATCCCCATTTTCTGGAAAGAGTTAATATATACCCCTTATTTATCCTTAATACTAATTACCCATTTTAACAAAAAAATTATCAATCTTCAAACTCCATTTATAATTTCTCACGCATTTAATAAAATTACACCAAATTCTTCTTATCACAAAACCTAAAAATATGAAATTGAGAAAGATAACGTGTAATTTCAAATGCTAGTAAATAAGTGTAAATACAAACACTCAATATTCAATAAGAGTTACTACATATATGTATTGACAATAAAGTTTCTAAATATCTATATTTGTGTAAGAATATAAAGTTACACCAAATTCTTCATTATTAGAAAACCTAAAAATATGATATCAAGGAACATGAAGTGTAATTATAAACAGCAGTATTCAAGAGTAAGTATTCAATACGAGTTAACTACATATATGTTCTGATACTAAAGTATCTAAGTATTTGTATTTGTATAAGAATAAGTATATACATATACTTCTATCAAAGCAACTATATATCTATATTTAAATCGGCGACATGATCAATAGATCTCGGGGTTGAAAGAAAGACATGTGCCCTCATTTTGACGCTTGAAACGTCTTCTCCTAATTGTCATTTCTGCAATCCTAGGTTTAGAGGGCAATTTAATGACTCTGAAAAGCAAACACCATATAACCTAGGCCTTAAATCTGTAAAGTAAACTAATAAGTTGATTAAAAGGCACCAACCATAGATATGTCATATCAATCAATGCAGAAGATCTTGTAAAAAAATCTATTGGAGGAGGTAAAATTAAGAAGATGCCTATGTAGATCTTCAAGATTGGAGGCTCTAGCTATAGATTTTTGTGAATATTGATTCCAAATGCGGAAATCACTATATAGAAAAATTTGAGCCTAACTTTGAGCACTATTCATATCGAACACGTGTCGCAATTTCATATCATCATCATCTTTTTGGCCTTTTCCTTTTATTCCCATTTTACCCTTATTCATACTTCCCTATTAATTTTCATTTGGCAAGAGAAAGAGTAATATGGCCTTCTTAATCATACCCACAATCATTTCATTGTTGACTTGACTCTTTTTACATCAATTTTTTTTTTTTAATAAAAGCATATGAGTTTGTTATTAAATTGATTAGCGACTTCAAAATTTTCATCTTTACGATTTTAAGCCATCACTATAATATAAAAGAGCCTAATTTGGGGCACTATTCATATTGGACACGTGTTGTAATTTTCCATTGTCAACATATTTCATTTTTTTTTCCTTCTATTCCCATTTTACCCTTATTCATACTTCACTATTTCATTTGGAGAGAGAGAGAGAGAGTAATAATGCCTTTTTACTCGTATCCACAATCTTCTCATTGTTGACTTGTCTCTTTTTATGCCCTCAATTTCCTATAAAAGCATATGAGTTTGTTTATTAAATTAATTAAGTTGATTAGCAACTTCAAATTTTTTATCTTTACGATTTTAAGCCATTCTCCTACAAAAATATCTTTTATAGATAGTTTACACTTAAAAAATCGGTACCTACAATCTTCTTATTGTGTAAAACAGTTGGTACCTACAATCTTCTCATTGTTGACTTGCCTCTTTTTATGTCCTTAATTTTTTATAAAAGCGTATGAGTTTGTTTATTAAATTAATTAATTTCATTACAGACTTTGAATTTTTTATCGTTACGATTTTAAGCCATTCTCTAACAAAAATATTTTTAATAGATAGTTTACACTTAAAAAAGTTTGTAAAATGAAGTTGAGAAATAAATTTTGGAGTTCATTGACTCAAAAAATTATGACTCAATTTTTTTCTTTCAATATCTTATGCATACAAAATTTGCATCATATTAATAAGTTTGCTTATGTGCATTAATATCAATGGATGTACATACATTGTACACATTCAAGGTAATAAAATCTATTACTAAATTATAAGTATTTTATAGCAAACACTAAAAATTTTACCTTCTAAACATTTTAATTTTTATGAAAAATAAATAATAGCATGTATAATCTTGACCAATGGAGGAACAATATCACCTTTTTTTTTCCCATTTTTCTACCCTTTCTTGGAAGTCAAAGTAGATATTATATTATACGTTTGGCAAATGCTAATAATGAAAAAAAGTACAATAATATATTTTATTTTCTTTTTTATTCAATATTATTTGACAAATATATAGATTACTTAAAATTCATGTTTTTTCAACTTTATTTTTAACCACATGTCTATTAATAAAATAATTTTGCACATGGATTAATAATTTTTTCTTACTTTTTAACCACGCAATTGTTTTATATGGAGTTCCATTTAAAATAGGTTGACTTTATTGAGAGAAGTAATACAAACTCTTATAAGTTAGTCTATATTTTCATCTTTACTTGATATGTGATTTATTCCTTAACATACCCCGCAAGATGGTCTCTTTTCAACAAATCAATCTTGAAATTTGCGTGCTCGTTTTTTGGTCTTAATAGAATTGAATTGCTTGTTGAAATTTAATAAGATCTAATTTCATGTTAAGACTTGAGATTTCATATTAAAATATCAACATTATTAAGAGTGATACAAACTCTTATAAATTGGTCTATATTTTCATTTTCACTTAATGTGAGATTTATCCTTTAACAGTGACAAACTCTTTTGAACTTTCATAATTGTAATAAGATTCTTATGATTAATTCTGTGAAAATTTATTCAGATTTATAAAAAAATTAGAATTTATAATATTTTAAAATTAATTAAAATCTCAGTTGAGACACTTCCATAGTTCCATTAACTTTTGACTTGTTTTTTTTTAATCCAAAAATTATCTCCATAATCAAAACTATTTCTCGTTCAACATGACCCAAGTCTAATATTAACTAAGCATATTACAAATTTTAGACTAAAGCCATGGATTAATCACAAATGATTAATAATAAATATTCGAAAGCCAAATTATCAGGTACTATTTTGCAAGCATTAGCCATTTTTATTTTCAATGAAAATTACATCCTAAAAACTTTAACGCTTTACTTAGATGGAATAGTACACAAATTGCTTCTATTTCTGAGGTACACCCGAGGAAGAATATAAAATATTTTGTTATAAATATACATGGAAGTTTATATCTATGTGTTAGAATACACAATCGTGTTTCTCCTATAATCTGTCTTTGTTGTATAAATTTCAGAACTCCAAACAAATGGTGCAAAATGATGTCCTGAGTGCTTTAGCTTCCGTTATCGATTCATATCAATTACACCATTC